GCGGCTCCTGGGCGGGCGGGCGCGTGGCGCGGGCCCGGGACGAGGAGGCCGGGTCTGCGCGGGACGCTGACGCCCTCTCCCCCCAGGAGTGCTTCCCGGCTTCCCGGTGTGCGGGTCGTCCGCCTTCACAGCCAGCTCCTTCCCGCGGTCTTCCTCAGCTGAGATCGCTGGTGAGTGGGCTGCGGGCCTGACCTGGGTGGGGGGCTCCCGGTCCCGAGAGCTGGGGTTCGAGCAGGGCCCGGGCGCGCGTGCATCGCAGGCAGGAGCCTGTCCCGGCCGCGCCCCTGTGTCCCCCGGGCGCCCTGGGCAGCGGCCGGAAGCTCAGAGCCACGACACCGTCCTGTGACCGAGAGCAGGAAGTTTAGTCTCCAGGCCGCGAGCGTTTCGGCGTGCCCGCGGAGGGACCTGGCCCATTCCTGAGCGTCTTTAGCCAGGGGGTGAAAGCGGAAGGTTTGGAGGTCAGAAGGAAGTCGGTCTTCCGGAGCCCACAGGTCTGAGCCCGTGCGAGGGCTTCAGGAAGTCCCAGAACAGTGGAATGGAAGCGAGTTTTTGGCTGGCCCTGTGGCTCAGGGGTAGGTGCTGCTCAGAGAAAGCTGGGTCCCGCCCCCGGCTGACCAGAGCTCACGTCCTGGCGCTGTCAGCGTGAAAAACGCTGGGCCTGGGCCCTTGGCCTGGGCCCCGAGTCCTGAGGGTTAGAGACCTGGAGAAGGACTGCCTGGAGCGGCTCCGTGGGCTCTTCTCTCACGCCTGTGTGCACCTGCTGCCTTCAGAAAAAGCAGGAGTTTATTTTAGTGCAAAGCATTTTGAAATCTATGCATAGATTTAAAAAAAATTTTAATTAGAGGCCGGCAGGTGGTGTGGTGGTTGAGGACGCCGGATTCCCACATGGTCGACTGAGGTTCAAGTCCCAGATCTGGTGGCTTACTTTCTCACTTTCCCTCTCTTTCTCTCTCTCTCTGATCAAACTGGAAAATAATAGTAATAATAATAAATAAAATTAAAATAATTTTTAAAACTTTTAATTAAAAATTATTTTTTGGAATATTTTTGCCACAGGGCTCTTTTGTTCACCAGAGGCAGTGAGAGGTAAAGTGAGAAATCACCCCTCAAGGGAGGATGGCCATGCCACAATCCCTTCTCCTCCATTCTCTTCCTGGGATTTTGGGCATGCGCACACACGCACCCAGCGTAATTTTTAAGTTGTTTGATCTGGGACTCAAACTGTGGTTGGCCATGTGGGAGTCCAGTGCCTTAACCACCACGTCACCTGCTGGCCTTATGCATAGCTTTTTTTTTTTGAGAGGTTTTCGCTATAGGGCGCGTGCACTCGCCAGACAGACAGAGACAGAGAGACAGAAAGCGAGAAATCACCCCCAGGGGGGATGGTCACGCCGCAATCCCTTCTCCTCCATTCTCCTCTCGGGATCTTGGGCACGCACGCACATGTGCCTGGCGTGAGTTTTAAGCCACTGGGTCCAGAACGCGAACCGCGGACTACGTGGGAGTCCAGCGACATAGCCATTACGCTAACTGCTGGTTCCCTATGCATAGTTTTTTCATGACACACATTTTTCGGTGAAAGTTTGTGTAACTGGGAGGCCTAGAGATTGCAGCGAGAGGGCCGGGGTGCTGGACAGTGTGGAATCTGGACAGCCGAGTGTGTCAGCAGTGCGAACCTGCTGGCTGAGTTCCAGGGCTAGGGGGGACAGCGGGGAAGAGGGCCCTCCGCCTCCTTTGGGTTGCAGTACTCCAGAACGAAGTCTCAGGTGGGAGTCAGACGGAGGGGTGAGGAGGAGAGGGCTGCTGAGAGCTCAGACCCTTCCCTTCCCAAAGACAGGAGGGCACTCAGTCTGCAGGAGCCAGGAGGTCAAGCAGAGACAGGCGGGGGGTGGGGCGTGGCAGAGAGCTCTGTGTGGATGTGGGTTGCAAGGAAGCTGCACCCTCGGGATTTCAGAGGCTGGGACCGCCTCACTCAGGACTAGGTGAGAGCAGGAAGTTTGCTCACGGGGCCGGACTACCCGAAGGAGGAGGTGGAGGGCCTGGGAAGGTAGGCCTCCTGGCCTGACACGTGGAGGCGGGAGGCCCGGGAGGAAGGGTGCTCTGGGCTGCTGAGACACCGGACACGGTGCTGCTCTGGTGTCTGCCGAGGGGACTTTCTGTGCTCAGTAGTTAGGGACAGCTTGGGACTGCCCTGGTTGGAAAACCAAAATCCTCACCCTCTGGGGAGTCCCTAGCTAGAATCCGAATCAGTATCCCCATGTGAAGGGAGGGTAGGGGCCGGATTCCCACGCCGGGCAGTTTACCAGGGACCCCATCTCTTCCCTCCCCCAGCCATGGCGGTGACAGTGACCCGCACGACCGTCACCACCACCACCACGTCATCCTCAGGCCTGGGGTCCCCGACCATCGTGGGGTCCCCTCGGGCGCTGACCCAGCCGCTGGGCCTCCTCCGCCTGCTGCAGCTGCTGGCCACCTGCGTGGCCTTCTCCCTGGTGGCCAGCGTGGGCGCCTGGACGGGGCCCATGGGCAACTGGTCCATGTTCACCTGGTGCTTCTGCTTCGCCGTGACCCTCATCATCCTCATCGTGGAGGTGGGTGGGCTCCAGGCCCGCTTCCCACTGTCCTGGCGCAACTTCCCCATCACCTACGCCTGCTACGCCGCCCTCTTCTGCCTGTCGGCCTCCATCATCTACCCCACCACCTACGTCCAGTTCTTGTCCCACGGCCGCTCCCGGGACCACGCCATCGCCGCCACTGCCTTCTCCTGCATCGCCTGCGTGGCTTACGCCACTGAGGTGGCCTGGACCCGGGCCCGGCCCGGCGAGATCACCGGCTACATGGCGACCGTGCCGGGGCTGCTCAAGGTGCTGGAGACCTTCGTGGCCTGCGTCATCTTCTCGTTCCTCCACGAACCGCTCATCCACCAGCACAAGCCCGCCCTGGAGTGGTGCGTGGCCGTCTACGCCATCTGCTTCATCCTGGCTGCCGTGGGCCTCCC